AGGGGGCAGGCAGGTGGGGGCACCCCCACCCACCGCAGCCTCCGCACACCACACACACCAGTCCTCATCCTGCCAGGCCAACAGCTGCTGTTCCAGCTCCCCAACAACAAGCTGCTGACCACCAAGATCGGGCTGCTCAGTGCCCTCCGAGAGCACGCTCGCATCCTGAGCAAGACCACCAAGATGCAGACGGGCGCTCCGACCAAGTGAGCCCGCAGCCCTGCCAGGACCCTGCCCCCGTCCCGCAGACCACTGCTCACCGCCAGGCCGCAGCACGGGTGGAGCCCCTCCACCCGTCTTTCCACTGACCAGCCACGCTCTCTCTTCCTGTCAGTCTGTCTCAACCCCAGCTCCTGCTGCCATCCACCATCACCAGACCCACAAGAGCCGCCGGCCAAGTCCCTGGGTCATTCACGGCTCCCCCCCTTCCCATTCAGTCCCACCCACTCCCACTCACCCTCAGCCACATCCAACCACCCTCAGCACAAACCACTCCTCAGCACTTCTATCCACTCATTCACGCCCGCTTGTGTGCTCACCACACCGTCATGTATGACACACACCGGCACGTGTGACGCCGGCTGACACCGGCACACCTGGCCGTCCACTTCCTATTCATGTCTGCCAGCAACTCAGATCTTTCCCTCAACATATCCATTTGCCCAATAAATCCCTATCCCCCCCATCTCTATATTCCACACACACACACACACACACACACACACACACACACACACACAGGTCCTGTGTCCTGATGCAGATTTGGAAAGGACTTAGCTCCAGCCCTGAGGAGCTCTGAGGAGCCAGCCTGGGGTGTCTCGGGACACATAGGTAGATGCATAGAGCCCAGCTTGGGAAGGATCATTCTGACCTGAACTAGGAGGACTGGTTGTTAGGTAAATGGGCATGAAAACCAAGCCTCAGGAAAACCAGGAGCCAATCCCAGAGGTTCAGGGACTCCTGGGCAACCCAGACGTCAGGAGAGCAACCAGGTGAATACACTGGGGTACAGGAGAGGCCGTGGACGGCCAGCAGCTGCAGAGGCCGAGAGTGTCCAGCCTGTGAGAAAGCTCCAAGGCTCGGAGCGTTGAAGGGCCCCGCAACACAAATGGCTGGGAGAGCGGGGAGGGGGCTGAGGTCAGAGCCTGAGGCCAGCTGGGCCCCCTCCGGCTCGCTCTCAGATGGAGACAGGCCCTGGAACAGCCAAATCTGGGGCAGGGCACAGCCCTTCCCCTGCCTTCCCTATCTTCCCACTCTTCCAGGACCCTGAAAATGGAAGATTTTTTCCCAGAGACCTACCGGCTAGACATCAGGGAGGAGAGACAGGCCTTCTTCAGCTTGTTTGATGGTGAGAGGCCAGGCATGCTATGAGAGTCGGGATCTCCCGGTGTTGGTGGCATAGGAGAGACAGGAAGGATTTTGGCTTGGATTTGGTGGAAGGTAGAAAGGGTGGGGCAGAGCTGGAGCCTGGCGATCTCTGGGGCCGGGTGTGGACCAGGGCTTCCAAGTATGGGCCAGGGCTGCAGCATGATGAAGACATGGGTTTAGGTGGAGCAAATAGAGCCCAATGGTGAGTAAGGCCAAACTGTGGGGCCAGGGTCAAGGCAGAGGGGGGGCTGGGGAGAGAAGGGTCAAAACCAGGCCTTCCAGGGCCCAGCGGGTCTGGGCCAGGTAGAGTCAGGGATGGACGGGGGTGTGGGGCCTTGCAGGGCCCAGCGGGCCTGGGCCAGGTAGAGTCAGGGATGGACGGGGGTGTGGGGCCTTGCAGGGCCCAGCGGGCCTGGGCCAGGTAGAGTCAGGGATGGACGGGGGTGTGGGGCCAGAGGCTGAGGGGGTGCTCCCTGCAGGCACCCAGATGTGGATCTGCAAGCCCACCGCCTCCAACCAGGGAAAGGGCATCTTTCTGATCAGGAGCCAGGAGGAGATCAGCACCCTGCAGGCCAAGACCCAGAGCATCGAGGATGACCCCATCTACCGCAAGATGCCCTTCCGGATGCCACAGGCTCGAGTGGTGCAGAGGTGTGGGCCTGGGTCCCGGGGGCCCGGGCGGGCTGGCTCAGACCTGCTGGCATCTAGGATGATTGAGTGCTGTGCTGTGGAGAGCTGCGGCAGCCCTGGTGCTTGACTGGCTGTCTCAAGCAGACCACAGACAGTGTCATGGCTGCCCTGGGTCCTAGACAAAATGGCCCACAGACACAGGCTCTAGGCCTGCAGGGGAGGCGGGGCGGGGCGGGAAGGAGGACTGGAAGGCCTGAGTCAATTTGTCCCCCATCCTGCAGCTCTGCCCCTGCTCCCCAGTCCAGACAGACAAGACCATTCCCGAATCTGTGACCAGTGGCTCATCTGCCCCCAGGCAGGCCCAGACCCTCAGCCTCGTGCGGGCCTAGGGCAGACGGGGTAGGGAGAGCTCAATCTGGCCTCAGAAAAGATCAGGGGGCCTTGAGCTCCACCAGGGCAGATTCTTCTTTAGCCACAGCCACCATCTCTGCCCTCCCCTCCAGCTCTGCCCTCCCCTCCATCTCTGCCTCCCCTCCAGCTTTGCCCTCCCTCCAGCTCTGCCCTCCCTCTGTCTCTGCCCTCCCTCTGTCTCTGCCCTCCCTCCAGCTCTGCCCTCCCCTCCATCTCTCCCCTCCCTCCAGCTCTGCCCTCCCTCCAGCTCTGCCCTCCCCTCCAGCTCTGCCCTCCCTCTGTCTCTGCCCTCCCCTCCAGCTCTGCCCTCCCTCTGTCTCTGCCCTCCCCTCCAGCTCTCTCCTCCTATGCACCACTCCCAGACCCTGGTCTTGAATTTTTGAAGTTCTCCACCTGCAACATCTTCTTCCTTCTCCAAGGCCCCATGGCAGCCTTCCTCCTCCAAACAGCTGTCCTGGCCACGGGGGTCCAAATCTGCCCCTAGCATCTCCCCCAAGGACCTAAAGGTACCCTAGATGCACCCTGAGGTTGCCCAAAACACTGGCAGCCGCTGAGGTCCAGGGACCAGGCCCTTCTCCGATTCCGCCGTCTGCTTGGCTCAGGAAGTCCCTGCCATGGACAGAGCCGTTAGCCAGCGGTCACACAGGACAGGCAGAGCGTCCACTGAGAAATGGCCCAGGCTGGGGAAGGCTCCCAGGCCAGCTGCCCCCCTGCACTGCAACCCCACAGGTACATCCAGAACCCGCTTCTGTTGGAGGGGAAGAAGTTTGATGTGCGCTCCTACCTGCTCATTGCCTGTGCTATGCCCTACATGGTCTTCTTTGGCCATGGGTACGCCCGCCTCACCCTCAGCCTCTATGACTCCGCCTCCACTGACCTCAGCGGCCACCTGACCAACCAGGTACTGCCCCTCACGGAGGACAGCCTGGCTGTGGCCCAGGGGGGCCCAGCCGAAGAGTGCCTCTTGCCATGGCAGGGATGACCTGGAGTCCTGGTGAATTACCTCAGCGCACCGCAGCCTCGCGCCCACCTGGGTGCCGAGAAAGGCTGGAGACTCCAGGCCGGAGCCCTGTGGGGATCTGGGACCTGCTGCCGGGGGGGGGGGGGTCCGTGCAAGTGGTGCAGTTCTGAGAAGGGCCCTGGGGCTGGGCCCCGGGGCTCCGGTGGGGGCAGGGAGCTGCTGGGCCCTCCGCAAGGAGCTCTTGGTGTAGTTTATGCAGAAAAAGAGTCCCTTGTACACGACGCTGAAGGAGGACACTGTGTGGAGCATGGACCGTCTCAACTGCTACATCAATGACAAGTTCAGAAAGGCCAAGGGCCTCCCCAGAGACTGGGTCTACACCGCCTTCACGGTCAGTCCACCCCCCGCCCGCTCCCGCCCGGGGCGGGGGCAGGAGCTCAGAGTGTGGGTGCGCGTGTGGGTGTGAGCACCGTGTGTGCGCGCGCACCCACGCACACGTGGAAGCGTATTTCCCAGGGATGTGCTGAGTCTGTGTCTTGCCTGGCCTTTCGGTGAGTGAGTGCACGGAAGTTGTGTATGTGCGTGTTTTGAACAACACTCCTCAACATGACTCACTCAGCTACAGCCAGGGCCGCGCAGGCCAGCAGAGGCCCAGCAGGGGCCAGAGGGGACCAGGCACCCGTGGCCATCACCGCTCAGGCGCCCGCCCCGCCGCTGCCGCAGACATCGCAAACACCTGGAGTCTCACCACGGCGCCCAGGCACTCCATACGACTGGTCAGAGTCACGGGACACATGCAGACATGTCACATAACTAGAGCCATTTCACGTGACAGGTCACATGACACGCGTAGGCATTTCAAGCAGAGTCACATGACACACAGCCATTTCATGCAACAAGTCACAGGACACACATAGACATTTCATACAGAGTCACATGACACCCGTAGGCATTTCACACGGCCGGCATCACGGGACACACGTGGGCATTTCACACGGCCGGCGTCACGGGACACGCGTAGGCATTTCACACAGAGTCACGGGACACGCGTAGGCATTTCACACGGCCGGCGTCACGGGACACGCGTAGGCATTTCACACAGAGTCACATGACACGCATAAGCATTTCACATGGCCGGCGTCACGGGACACGCGTAGGCATTTCACACAGAGTCACATGACACCCGTAGGCATTTCACACAGAGTCATGGGACACGCGTAGGCATTTCACACAGAGTCACGGGACACGCGTAGGCATTTCACACACAGTCACGGGACACGCGTGGGCATTTCACACAGAGTCACATGACACACGTAGGCATTTCACACGGCCGGCATCATGGGACACGCGTAGGCATTTCACACAGAGTCACGGGACACGCGTAGGCATTTCACACAGAGTCACAGGACACGCGTAGGCATTTCACAC